CATTGAGGATACAAATTTGGTTGACTCTAGTATCATTGATGTTGAGGATGCTGAAAGTCCTGAAGTTCATGTGTGTGAGCGCATTGGTCCTCACTCCAAATATTTTTTTACATTGTGCTTGGATGACAATATGGAAATAGAGTCATCCGAGCCGATTGAGAAGTCAAGGAATGAGGAACAAGGAGTCTACATTCTAGAATTTTTCTTGCCAGAAAGACAGGACTACATACCTCATCTAAAAGCCAAAAAGTGTAGTACAATGATTGCTTGGGCCAATTAGATTTGTTCCTCCATCCCCGGAGCATATCCGAAAACTTGATGCCAAATTGGGGGTTCAATTCATAAGCTCGAGGTGGATGCAAAAAGTAATTCGCGTCGTGCCGCGATGTTAAATCAAGCGCTTATTGGGAGGCAACCCAGCTTTATTGCTTTCTTTTATTTATTTATTTATTTTTAACTGTATTACTTTTGGAGTGTCAATTTTTTATGTTCTAGGAGCATGGAAAGCAAAGGTATTGGAAGAATGCAACAATAAACCAAATGGTTGGAACTAAGTGTGAGGTACCCACACGGAGGACCAAGCTTGGGAGAAGTCTGAGTACCTCATGAGCTATTAGTGCTTCGGCTTTTGGCTTACTAGGGAGTCTCTTTTACCCTTTTATTAATTATGGTGTGCATTGGGGACAATGCATAATTTTAAGTGTGGGGTGAGGAGATTGTCTAGGTGATTTTCTATGTTATTTCAGTTGTGCTAGTTTAATTGAATAATTTTTTTAAAAATAGAAAATATTGGACTTTTCCCGACGATGGATCTATTAGACAATTTTCTTGAGGGATTTAAATCTAAAGAAAAAAATAAAATAAAAAGATTTTCTTTTGTTAGGTAGTGTAGTAATTCTCCCTTGGTTTTCCTTTGTGCCGTAGTTCTTTTCCAAGGGTTTTGTTTGAACCGGGTGTAGTTAGTTTTATTTTTGGAGTAGGAGTCATTGTGTTGTGTTTTGAATTGAAGCAATATCTCTCGACTTTGTTATGCCTTGAGAATAGTGAGTACTTGGGTTGTGACGCTTAGGCTCAATTTTTAACTCTTGTATAAGTACCTTAAATTTGCTTAACTGCTTTGACTAGAGTGTCTTGATGAGTGCAATCTTGAGTGAGTTATGTGTCATGCGTGTGTAAGGATTTGTTATATTCTGTGCATTGCATTTGATGCCTAGAACTTGCCCTGTGTGTTTGCAAAGCGAAATAGTAGTTTTGTTTAACCTTGGAAGTGATATAGGAGTTTCTTTGTTGAGCCAGATATGTATATTTTACCCACCTAATTGTTATGTATCGTAGTTAACCCATTTGAGCCTGTAATCTTGTTTCTTTGGCAATCACATTACAAGCATTACCCATTAGTTTGAATTAATCATCCATTTGAACCTTGTAACCTCTCATGAGCACTTAAATTGTTTACGAACTTTGTAAAAGTTAAAGTGTGGGGTGGTTGGTTTGGCTTTTGAGTGGAACTAATTAAATAAGGAGAAAGGTGCACTATTTTGAAAAAGTAAGAGCCACTTGAATTGAAAAAAAAAACAAAAATAGTTGGATTGTTGTAAAAAAAAAAATCCTTGATAAGTGGTGGCTCTTGATGTAAGTGTGCTTAAAGAAGAATGGGGTAATATACGTTGATGTGAAGGTGGAGTTTTGATTTGACATAAGTATTAGGTTTGAATGTTAAAGTATATGTATTAAAGTGCTTAGGGAGGTGTAGTCACTCTTATATCTAAATGTATCCTACCTGTCCCATAGCCTACATTACAACCAAATAAAGTCCTAATTGATCCTAGATTGAATGAGCTCGATTAGTGGAGTAGTACACTATGGGCAAGCTTATGGTGCGTCTTTTGTGGCATATGAATGTTATTTCTGAGAGTGAGTGAATTTTTTCTATCTTGAGTTCCTAAGTGTTCTTAAATTTATTGTGTGGAACTACTCTATTTTGTTGTATAAGAGCACTTGATTCATGAAGGAAATGTAATGTCAGTGACCTCTATGTTAGAGTAAGTGGGTGAATTGTAAATAATGCATGGTACTTGTGAGTCAAATCTTGAGGTGAATATGTTATGCTTTTGTGCTTAGTCTATTTTAAATACTCTTGGTGTGATGAGTTAGGAGAATTGTTTAAAAAGGTCGTGTCTATAAAAAAGTGTAGTTTGATTGCTCGAGGACGAGCAATGGTTTAAGTGTGGGGTGTTGATGATAGGCTATAATTACGTATTTTATTCTCTTATTACACTCAAATTTACTGCACTTTAATTGAGTTTGAGCTTTAATCGCTAGTATCTTGCACTAATTTTGTGTTTTATACCTTGTAGGAGTGATTCCGAGCTATATGGATGTTATGGAATGAATTCAAGTGATTTGGAGCTTTGAAGTTTGAGTAAAATCCCAAGTAATTAAGTCGGGATCGTATTCGGGGATCAATAGATGATTGAGCAACAAAACGAAGAATCGAGTAGGCATATTGCGCACTGTCTAGTAAAATACACATAACGTTTTGCTCAGAACTCTATTTGGGTTCCACAATATATGAGCCGTAGTATTTTCTCTATTTGTTCAACTATATTATTCTTGTGATTGGTTGAAGGGCCCTCAATTAGTTGTGCCTATTTAGTATGTATTACTCAGGAGAGAGTGCATATTTAGGTAGTTGTTGAACAACATCACTCCCGACGTATGTGAGGAATCAATAACCAAGGGTTTAAAGGTAGGATTAGGGATAACGAAACCTTGGATGCGATCTAAGTGAGCTGTAATTATAGCCAGCTAGCATAACTCGGGAGAGTATGTCTAGTAAATTGTCGTAATTACTCGGGAGAGAACAACACGCAGAGCGCTCATGATCGATAGAGAATACTTAGGCGAAATTATAGAAGACATAGCGGGAAGGATTCCGACAATTGGGAAAATCATAACTCTAGACCTCCTTAATCTTGTCTCTAACCCTTAGTATCTGTAGTTGTTAATTTACTATTTTAATTTGTTAGTTAATTAGTTAAACACAAGAATCTTAATATCTATAAGTTAGTAACTGTTCAAGCTTGTCTTCTTGGTGATAGTGAACAGCTGTAGCTAGACCTTAGTTCTCTGTGGGATTCGACTCCGAACTTGTAAACCGGATTATATTTGTAATGACCGCTTAGTCCTTTTTATAAGACATAGTTAGGCGTGATCAGGTAATAATGCAAAGAAAAATTTCCCACCTTGTCAGCACTGTGGCAAAAAAGGTCATCCACTATTCAAATGTTGGAAGAGGCTAGATGCAAAGTGCAAAATTTGCAACCAACTTGGTCATGAAGCTTTAATTTGCAAAGGCAAATCTCAAAAGCATAAAGCAGATGCCCAAGTCGCCAATGAAGAGGAAGAAGATCACTTGTTTGTGGCAACTCTTCTTTCAACCAAGAAATTTGATTTTTGGATGACTGATAGTGGTTGTACAAACCACATGACATATGACAGAAATCTTTTCAAAGAATTCAAGTCTATGGAAAATAAGAAAGTCAGAATTGGGAATGGTGATTATATTCTTGTTAAGGGAAAAAGAACTGTTGCAATCCCAACAAAGTCAGGTACTAAAAAAATTTCAAATGTTCTTTATGTTCCTCATATTTATCAAAATTTATTGAGTGTTGGACATGGAAAAAATATTTAAAGTATTCTTTGAAGATAAACATTGTTTCATTTATGATGCAACTGGAATTGAGATTTTAAGGGTTAAAATGGGAGGTAAAAACTTCTTATTTAATCCAACAAAAGATGAAAAATGGAGCCAAAAGAATCTACAAAGTGCAGATAATTCTCCAAATGAGCACATATGTGAAAATGAAGCAAAGAAGAAGTTGTCAATATTTCAGACAAATAAAATTTGGAAGAAACTTGACAAGCCTCAAGGCAAAATGAAATCTGGAAGAAAGTTGACCAGCCTCAAGGCAAGATGCAAATGAAGCCGAAAAAAGAGCCAACTTATTTCATTGAAAATCATAAGATGCAGCAAAATAGAAAAGTGAACTCAATTTAGTGCAAGTCCAAAGATCAGTTGGCAGATTTACGTACAAAGTCGCTTCCGATTAAAGGTTTACAAGGCATAAATTCAGAATTTGCAGCTTCAAAAACAAGGAGGAATGTTAGAAATATGTTTTAGAAGCTGAAAATAGTAAAATTATTTTACTTTTTCAGCTTAAGAGTTGTTTATTGCAGTAATTTATTTTGAATTTGAAATAATTTTGAACTAGTCTCTAGGAGTTTGTTATTTTCAGCAGATTTTGTGCTGATTTTTAGGTCTTTTAAGTTAGCATTTATCTTATAAATTGTAGTCTAAATGCAGTGAAATAATATAAAATTTTAAGCTTCTGCTCCTTTTACATCTATTCCAGTATATTTTTTTTTATTTTCCTGTCATCTTCCCGTGTTATTTCCCTTAGTTTCTTTTATCAAGAACCACCAAGAACATGAGGAAAAGTGAGAAACATGGTCCACTACTAAGTGATCATGCTGTAAAACTAACAAGAAAGACCAAGTAAAAACATAAGTCCACTACTGCTAGAAAAAAGAGTCACGACCAAATGATGATCAACTCAACTGTTTTGAAGAATTAGCCGACACCGCGCGGCCCATAGCATCATGCAACGGAATACACAATCGATAACGCGAGCAAGAAATTATTTATATAAAGGTCCTCAGGCATCAACATAGTTATATAGGTCGCGGACAGGGACATGAAACCTTGTGTATAACCCATTAGGAATAATCAAGAGCCTTTATGAGTACAAAAAGAATACATCAATGTACTCCCGACTATGCAAAAGAATAAGAATTCTAAAATAGGGCACCACGGGAGTGAGGGGACATGTGTGGATGAAATACCCCAACCTCGAGCACGTTTTAAATATCATTGAACAAGTGATGGGTTGAATTCCAAAAATGAGAGTTCAAGTAACATAGGAGCGACATTAGCCAAGGACCAATCAAAACTAACATCAACTGGACTAACCCCATACTATAAATGCATATATCATCACATAATACACCCTTGTCAATTTAACCTTCAAGCCATTACAGCACCAAGACCAACCCATGGGTATAGTTTTTCTGTCAATTCTTCATCTACAAAATGTTGCTACTCTTCACTTAGCACCATACTTGCAGGGCTTTACAGACATATTACTAATATGGGAAATACAGCTCGGGCAAAACTAGATTAGTTCTATTTCCTATGGACATTCTGTTCCAAACTAAGATAAAATGCAGTGTTAGATTTTATATAACAACCAACAGGCCCGGATCTTCTTCGTAATCTATATTGAAGAAGTGGTCGATTTTCTTGACTGCATTGTCCTGGCCGAGGTTATCGTTTCCTCTCGTTATTGGAACTAGGCTCTCCTTGTAATTGAAAACCCAACATTGACCCCAGGTTCGGTCCAGCTGAAATCCAAGCTCTGTAACTTCTCTTGTTGTAGGATCATATAGCACCAGCTGTGAAGTTTCAGTGATTTTGAAAATCATCTTATCATCCTCCCAGATGCCGCGAGGCCAATGAGCATCTATAAGAGGTTGAACAGTAAGAACTTTGGTCCAACTACCCTCTTGTTTCATTACCCACACTTCATATATGGATGTCATAGCCTTACCAGGCTGGTCACAAACTAAGAGAGCAAGCGAGTCACCACGCAACATAAGTGCTCCCCACCGTGCTTTTGGAATATCTAGTGCGTGCATCTCCCCAAACTGTTCACTGGCCATGTCAAATGAGCGTATCCTGCAGATTTTGTCTAGGCCTCCTGAGAGCCAATAATATACCCCGTTGAGATAAGTGGCACCAATGGTTTCATTTAAGTGACAACAGGAAGGGAATTCAGATCTCAGGTTCTTCCATGAGTTGTTGCGTAACGAATAGACACTGACAAAGACTCGAGTGAAAGCGCCTTGTCCAAAGTTATCCCAAAATCTTCGAATACATACAACCTTATAATCTCGAGTCGACGGGTCATATCCCAGTGCAAATTGTTCATCATAATCCTCTGACTGAAGCTCAAAAGACACAGGAGGCAGAGGCCAGAACTCTCTGGTGGAAGGATTCCACAAAGCCAAGCAAACATCGTCGTCATAAAACGGTTTTTGCACCAAGAATAAGCCATCAACCGGGCCAGTAATGGACATGAAATCAGTCCTCTGAAACTGATAGAGAGTTTTTTGTTCAGGGGTCACACCTGGAACTATTTTACCAGGGAGCAAGCAAAAAGCAACGGATTTTGATAAATTTGATATTGTTAAGTTACAAATGAGGAGACGGGCACGATTGTTCTTGTAATGAAAATGTTTTTCTATGAAACTTGGACTTTTGATGAGAGCATACCAATGCTTGGACACACATTTGAAACGCAAGAGTGACTCCACAGGCAACCTCAATAGAATTTCCACTAATAGATCTTCTGGTAAAGGACGGCTACCATCCATACTGGTGGTCGTTTGCTCCCCAATTTATCTTCTAGAAATATAAGCAAATATATGGTATATAAGAAACAAAATGACACAACATACAAACATGTTGAGAGAGAATCACGAAAACAGGCAATAATAAAACATAAAGTGCAATTATAAAAAAAGCAAGAAGCACTATTATCATGTGATCAAATTATAATCAAACTTAGGAAAACTGAAAAGACAAAAACAAGTAGAAAAATGGACACAAAAGAATTCAAAAATGGCTACGATTTGGTAGTATTTCCCTGCTTGGAGAAGAAGAAAGACTAGATCAAGAAAAATGAAACCTCGTAACGGAAAAAAAAGAAAAGAAATAGAAGTGCAAGTTGCAGCTGCAACACCCCACATGAAAAATTAGAAGAAAAACCAAGGGTTTCTCATCTCTCTAATGTAATTCTTGATTTGTCATCTCTCTAATGTAATTCTTGACTATGTTACATGCAAGTCAACTTGAGCTTTTATATCTGTCCCAATATATACCAGCAGTGGCGGATCCAGAATTTTGAGCAAGGGGTAAAAGTGAATAGTAAAAAGTTTCTTCAAAGAGGTTCATCGAAAAAAAATTAATCCAAATGTAACGTCAAACGGGTTCATCAAAAAAAGTTGAATGTAAACTAAAGTATTGTTAAAAATCAAACTAAATATGTTAGATCAAAACTAATACAGTGAATGTTATTTTGAAGTAATCTTTTTTTTTCCCAAAAGAAAAAAATTAAAACACTTGTGTAAAAGGCATTTAAAAGAAGAAAAGGCAAAAATAATCATACTATAAGAAACAAAAAATGAACTGAAGATGATCGCAAAAATAACTTATAAGTAAAAAAAAATCCTAATTAAAAGTATAAAAACAATATACTTGCTCTAGAGAATGTTTGTATTACTGAGAAACATAAATACACACACACCCATAATAAGTATTTCAATTACATAATAAGTATTTTTATTACATAAGTAATTATTTTAATAGTGAAAAGTGTTACGAAGAAGAATTTCAAGTAGTAAAGTCTAGTGTTATCGAAGGCGAAAAACGCAAAAAAGCTCTAAGGTCCATTGAAGCTTTAAGCGCAATGTGCAAATAAAGTGTGGGTTTTAATGAAAAAAGCGCAACTGGAGAAAAAGTAATAATATGTATATGTAGTCCAAGACTAATAATTATAAGCATGAATAACAAATATATGGGCAAAGAAATTTAAAAAAAATTACGAAAAAGTAAAATATCAATTGTTTAATGTCGCCTTTTCAGGATTACACTCATTGGTAGGGAAAAGTATGCCTTAAAGCCTTGATGCGATACTAAAGCGCCCATAAAGCGAGGCGAAGCGCTCAACATGTTTTGAGCTTCGCTTTAGGGCTTAAGCGCGCCTTTGACAACACTGGTAAAGCTTATGGCCATTTTCTATATTGGGAACATCAATTTTTAGTACTAAAACACCTTTAGTTTATTGGTCTTCATACAGGGATAAGAATATTAATCCCGGTACGAATATTGGGGTAATAGGTATTCCATGTTTGGTTGTGAGTATTAGCTAATACCAGTGTAAAACTGTAAATTTTATACCAAAATGGTGGTATTAGCTACACTCAATGTAGGAGGTGGGACAAAAACTCCCATGGGATATCCCATAACTGAACCGAATGACCAAAGCGGTAGAAAGAAAAAGTATTGCAAAGTGGGGGAATCAAACGTGCGACCACAATGAGCTTTTGAACCCCTTGACCAGTGAGCTAAGTTGTTGGGTTGTGTTAGAGGAATTCAAGATATAATACTTCTGAGACAAAAGTTTAACCTTATGTACACATTATCATTTAATGAACCCCTTCCGGCCCTGGCTGCATCCCTAGCCACCAGGGACAATCAGGGGCGGAGGTAGGGTATAATTTAAGGGTTCGGCCGAACCCATTAGCTTTTGCATAGACCCTGTATTTATATTTGAAAATGTATTAAGTTTATATTAATATATAATTGCGAACTCAGTAACTAAAACATGTTATGGGTTTGGTGTCAAATTCATAACCCACAAACTTTAAATCCTAGCTCCGCCTTGGGGACCATCACTAAAAGATATGGCCAAAGTAGATTTCAACCTCTACATCTCAACTTAGCACAAACATCAATTTTGCAGGTAATAACATAATTTAAGAACCATGAAAAGTAAACAAAAAGCTTGGAAATGGAACAAGTGTTTCTTAACACAACTTGCAAATGATTCTAACAATTGAAACTTGAAAGATGCAAAGGAATGACCCTTTGAGGGGGGG